CAACGAACAGGTATTAAGTATATCAATGATTTTAGTTGTTATTGTGGTAACAGCAAAAATATGACCATAATTGTCAACCATTCCAAATTCCAATTTTTCACTTTTCTCCGTAAAGCGTGTATATAGAGTATATTACATCGATTGTCATTGAAAATGAAATATAATGTTTATTAAAGACCTTCAGAACATTCGAGTTCGTACGAAGACCTAACTGAAAAACTGGAAATGTCTCCAACGACAGAAACGACGGCATTTGCGACAGGGAGTGGCGGTGGCAGATCAAAATTCACAAGACAACAGAGCACCATGGAAACTCCACTAGACTCTTCGGGAGTAGTCAAAATGACTTGCTGGTTTTAGTTGATTTGTTTGTTTTGTTTTATGTATAACATTTTTGTGTAATTTGATATAGATGGTCGGCGCCTAGAATAGAGTGTGATAGATAATCTGCATAATATGACATGTAGACATTTTGTTTAAACGTAATTTATAAACCAGATAAGGTTTTTTTATAGAAAAATCTGTTAGGTAGGTATGATTAATGAATACAATTCCACAATAAAGTAATTTTTTACGAAACTACCTACCTACTAACAAAAGTGTACTAACATAATATAATAACTGTTTCGGGGGCTTCTAAAAACCATTAAAATTAGTTCAGGTGTGTTTATTTATAAATTTTAAATTGTGATCATTTATTATTAGAAAAAAGTACAAATATTAATATTCGAAGAAATAAATTTGTCAATAAATATGAATAGAATCATAGAATCATGAAATGGTATCCATGTTAGTAGGTATTTGTTTTTGATAACTGCATACTGTACAATTATAATTTATATATTTACTTACTAGATAACGTAATATTCAGTATCGTATTAATTTGTCTATTGACATTTACAAATATACAATATAACATTAAAAAATTAGCCAGAAATTGTTATGAAACCTTTAGTAATTTAATACTAAAGTTAGTATATTATTTAGTATATTTTATTACTTGTACTTTTAAAATGTTTAAATTATGAAGCAAAATATTCAAGTGAAAATTATGATTCTTAAACGGTGGTGTTTAATTATGTATAAGCTTTACTTTTGGATTAATAGAACAATGACAATTATTATCAATGTGTAAATTGTTATGTTTTTTTAAGCAACTACTCCATATTTATACATCACCGATTACAGAAAAATAATTTTCTTCAGAATATGAAATCAAAAAAAGTTGCAATTATTTATCATAATATGAAATCAAAAAAGTTGAAGCAATATTAAGAGATAGTATTAATATAAATTTAAATAATTAAAAAAACCGAAATAACATGTTTTGTTTTAAATCTTTAAAGATTATCGAAGGTGGCCAATGAAAAAATGTTCTATCATAATGTAGTTAATACACATTATATCGTGTTGTATTTTAACGATTGTAGTCATTATTTTTAGTATTATTGTGTTAATATTATTAAACTTCCAAGTTTATTCATAACAAACCTAAATAATGTGATTCAGAACAGTTCGGTAGATACGTATAAGATGATACTTAAGATAATATTTATTTTAGGTCAATCAAAATTCACTAATTAATAAATGTATCATCTACTCATTTTAAGTTACACAAAAGTCAATATATTATGTTATGTATACGTTTAAGTTAATTTAGATAATTTATACCTAGTGTATACTTATACATTATACATGTACATAATTTAATTATTATGATCTTAAAACAATACGCCGTGAATAATTTTGTTTTATTTCTGCATTTCAATAAAACCCATAATATTTCTGATAATACGTAGTTTATTGGGAATATTGGCAGATGAATGAATCGTTAGTACATAATACCTATTAAAAGTTGATTTTTAAATTTAATTGACTTCATTGTCCATAAAATTCCTTGAATTTTGAAAAAAAATCAAACATTTTGGCTATTATTATGATCTAATTTTTCTAAACTTTCATTTAAATATATTTCTCACTATCCCACGAGTAAACTTTATTTATTACAGATAAATTTCTAGTTAAATGTTTAAAAGCAATTTAACAATCTAAATACATAATACCTACATATTCGATAGTCGGTAACTGATGTTATCGATTAAGTTTGTCTGTAAAATAATTATTTCCACTGCAAAATACATTTACAGGTTACGAGTATACTTCGTAATAAATTAAAATTTTGTTAAGAATTTTGAAAATTAAACCCTATTTTTACAAACATGAAAAATTAAATTATAAAGTCACTTTTTGTTTGTAACGTTTGGAGTTAATTCTTTAAAAATGTTTTGTTATGACATTATAAATAATACATATTATTAAAAGCATATTAGACTTCAAGAAATTAACATTGTCTACCGAACCAAGAACTTTGGATTTAAGGATAATAAAATTAAAATTATTTTTAATTCTTCTCTAAAATATCTAAAAAGTAATGCCTCGTGTATTTCTTCCATAGATTTGCAAATTTCATAGTTGAAAGTATGATTTTAAATATGCAAGTTCAAAATAGTTTTGTTTTTAACTTAAAGTATTTAAAATCGTTATTATAAGATAATGTGTAATATAAGTAACAAAAAATAATAATGATACAATATAGATACTAAAACATATTCTGTACCTACTGCTGTAGGTTTTCTGTTTTTTAATGTTTTAATATTATTGTAGAAAAAAACAATTGTTTTATTAGTTTAAGCATTATGTAATAATTTGTATTACAGAAATCATAAATGGTAATAATATAATATATGAAATATTTTTTTTTTAAATTTGTTCGATTGTTCGTCATTATTATTTTATACATTTTCTAAAAACTCAACATGGATTTAATTGTCTGGGTTTCGATGTACGAAATCATATTCACAGATATTTACAAAATAATAGAAATATTTAGAAGAACGTCGACCTATACAAAATTAATTGTCAGTATTTATTTATACGTTATTATAACTACTATCTAGTATAAGCTAAGTATTATAAATTATAATGTTTTCTGAGATGAGTGTAGTAGGTACATCTAAATCATAAATATTTATTAATATAATAATAATTATATGTGTATTTTGAAAATAACGGAATTCTAGTAAATCCTCTGAAATTTAAAAATAAAGAATTATGGTGTGTGTGTAATACTTATTAAAGTTATAAATAATTATAGAAATTATATAAATCTCAAATGAATCTCTAATATAATTATAATATAAGTTTTTAATTTAGTCATGTGCAAGCGTAAACAAGGTGGTTATACTGTTGTAATAGAGGAATCGCTATTTAATAAAAAACTAAAAGCCATATAAAATCGCATAGTACCTAAATATAAACATAAATAATAATCAAAGTAACATATTATTATTGTATTGCCTCCTCAAATATGGCTATCGTACTGTACCGTATACGAGGACGATAAACCAACGTTTGTGTACAGCACCTACCTATTATACCTACCTATCCGACCATACACGATTCGATCACAAATGGGTTGATATCAAATTTAGAGCTATTGTTATTATAATTATTAAAATTACCATCAATCAACTCGACAGCAGAAAACGTAATCTACAGTCGTATATATGATGTAAAACATTAAATATAGGCAACCGTTTTTATGAAAACGAAAGATATAGACTCGCGTCGTGTTGTAAAATGACAAAAAATGTTTAAAAGTGTTCAATGTACCTAATGTGCGACTCATCGAATTTGAAAACGTTTTGTCGTTACCTTGAAGCTTATATCATAATATTTTGTTATTTATAGCTAATAAGTAAAATAACCAATAATTTACCTACGATAATGAGGGTGATGTCATGTATTAACAAAAATATAGTTATAACAGTATTCCAAAACCGGAAATTTTATAATTACTTAAAAATGTATATATTTTTAAACGTAGAATATATCATTTATAAATTTTCTCGAATAGAAAAATATATAATCAATTTTCGTCAGCCAAGGAGGCACTCATCATAATACAATTCAGTGCTTCTACCAAACATTTTTGTAAATTTTATAAGAGTTTTTGACGTTCGGAATACATCTGATCTGTAGATTAATTTGTCTGTAGGTACAATGGTCAATGAGTCGGAGCACATGTGCGGTTTTTGCCTATTATCATTTTTAGAGTAGAATTAATATAAGTGTGAGATTTTTGGACAAAACCAACAAATATATGTATCACAGTGAATTCTTCAATATTTATATGGAGCACAGATAAATATTTGACTTGTGTCTTAATATTCCGTGTCTACGGTCAAGATCACTATAATTTCATATGCCTCATAAGCTTTTAATATAAATACAGAATACGTTTAAACACGAAGTTTACTTTAACAGTAGTCAAGTATAGACAGTATAGTAAGGAACAATTATTATACCGGTTATGTTAGGTACACATAAAACTAGAAAAAAAAGAAACTCAAAAACCAGACAGTCCACGGAAGTCATTAACTGACTACAATTTTTAGAATTACTGCAACTATAGTATATGGGACAGTATAATTTATTTTCAATCCTAATCTATACGCAGACGAATAACAGGTACAAAATTGATAGCGTGATGAAATATGCATCTACAGGATATTATACGTAGACAGGTAACGCATCTTGTACTCAGGTACATGATATGTCATTTTTTGCTATACGCCAGCTGCAAGTTACGCGTACATCTACCTTTAGTAATACAAAACTAGAATAAAAAAAACCAACAATATATTATCAAATGAAAAAAATCGAACGGTGTGGCGTCGTTTTTTTTTTTTTTTGGTCTAAATAATTTTTATATTCCTATTACAATAATAATGTACATTGTAATACGCGGCTGCAGTGCAGTTACAACTTAAACATGGTTGTTTTCCATCGTATGTACCCACTTAATAAGATACCTACATCGAGGTCCGACAAGGTTATTCACTCGGGGTACCCCTATGATGCACTCGATATATTATTATATTTGAAAATAATATAATTTATATACACACATTTATACATTTTTTTTCTCTCACGACAAGTGTACAAGGTGTCGCCCGCTGAAATTGAGCTCTTTAAATACGAACGCAGGAAAGGAGTAAACAGGCAGTTGTTGGACGGCAACAGTTGTGGAGTCTACGCATCATCACGAGTCAACGATTTCGGTAAATATTAAATAATATTATTATTTTATTAGTGTAGGCCGCTGGTAAGTACCTACCTATCATCAGTCGAGTCTCGATAGCTAGAAAACCTCGAGAAGTCAAATTTTTTTCTCGCCCCTTGAAGTGTTTTTAAATTGTGTTTGAGGTGTATTACTCGAAAATTACGCAAGTCTAGTTAATTTTTTTATTCTCCAATCGAGATTTGAGTTCTCTCGACTCGACTGTAATACTTGAATAATAATGTACGATTTAGTTTCGTTATTTGTACAACACATATAGTTAGGATAGTTTTTTATTTTCGTTGCAGAAATATTTTATACGACACGATATCTAGAATAATTAGGAAATCGCTATTGTAGGTCGGCCGTTATAGATATTACGTGTTATGTATTTAAAAAAAAAAAGAAAAATCATAACAATAAGGGGGCAAAAACCGTAACATATTCAGAACATCGACATATAAGCAAATAATATACTATATAGTATTACAACGGTAGACGTCAAAAACCTTAACAATTGAAACGTATTTCGGAGAATAGAAAAAATTTGCTTGCCCAGCGTTATTAAATAAAAGGAGCTGATTATTATTTTTATTATTATTATTTTGTTTTTATATGTAAATATTTGAGACGTAAAATCCTGTTGGAACGATTCCGATTAACAGACTGCTAATGAATACCGAATGAATGTGTTGAACGAAATATAACGTGTTTAAAAAAAAAAAAAAAATGTATAAAATATTAAATAATTATTTGTACAATAATTTTTTGTGAGTGTATCACTCGGACTGCAGTTATAATAATAATATAATATGTCTGTAGTAAAACAAAACTATATGTATATATTATATACTATAAATCATTCGTTATTGACAGTGTGATTTTATACAATATAATATATATGTAATATCAAAATACTGTAAAGACCTGTTTGGGGGGAGGGGGTAAAAACAAAATAGTCAACACACGATAGTTCACGGTCAATTTTTCATTGATTAAAACATAAACTATTGGCGCGCGTCAGCACAACTGTAACATATGTATGATAGTGTTTTGTACATGCACCTCCGAACAAAACGGAATACCGGAAACAAGATTCATCAAAAACTATTGGCTTTTACCAGACACGTTGTTTTGTCTTGATAATAATATTGTAATATCCTTGGAGGTCAAAATGAGCGGATATAGGCACATCCTAGAAGGAAATAATATAGTAATAGTTACGACGATTTCGGACAGGAGTATACAAAAATAATATATAGTACATGCTAATATTATGATGTATTATATTGTGTAGAACTTAAACGCGCGATTAAAAGTATATTAGACGAAGTTAGTTTACTTTAATAATTAATCATTTAGCCACTCTCGATTTTATCAGCACCGACTATTATATTATAATGATATCACTTTCATTATATTATATGCACTTGATAAAACATTTAAGAAAATTAAGTAAAATACATTATATAGGACCCTCTTGACTAAGCAACGATTACATCATATTATTATTATTATTATTATTATTATTATTATTCGTATTGTTTTTTTTTCAGAGAATTTCTTCATTGAACCGGAAGTCGATTTACAGAATAATTATGAGTGGATATTTGGCAATTATCGGTAAATATTTTATGTACCCACATGTTATAAAATATAAAGAAATTAAACTGGTAATAAAAAAAATAATCAAAGCATATATGTGTTAGTTACAACACAAGTAGGATTTATGTTTTTTAATAAACGAAAATATTACAATAATAAAAAAAAATATATAATAATCAATACATAGTTTGAAGATGGTTTGCAACTTACTACCTATGTACTTGGCAAATATATTTTGACATGGCGTGTATTTAAAGTAAAATAAAATAAGATTAAAATATATAGGTAATATCTTACTTGCAAAATTAATTTTTGTAATTAAACTTATTCCTACATGGCTACATAGCTTTATGAATTGTTAAAATTATTAATTCTATATATAATTATTACAAGTACAATCTTAAAAAATAATATCTACGATCAAATCAATGTAATTCAATAAATGTGTGTAAAACTAGTTAAGATGGTACAATAAATTTAAGTGTTGGACCTATTATACAATATTAGAATTATTTTAGGTTCATTTTAACCTAATTTTCTTCAACAAGGTACCTACTTATAAGTTATAAAATATGTTAATCAGTATCATATTATTATGTTCATATTTAATGTTAAATGTCCATTATACCAATGTTACTACGATGGTTCAATTCGTTTTATTATTGATCGCAGATTCATAAAAAGAATAGTAATCATATTTATTTTTAACAACTATTGTTGACTAACGAATTTTAATTTTAATATTAGTAATTATATGTTTTAAATAGCATGCATTTTAAATGTCATTATTGCTGAAAGTATCTTTTAATATTGATTTAATGATTATTATATTATAATCTTGATTATTAATAATACAAATGAAGAATATTCACACGGGTATAGTGTACAACTAAAAACCCTGATATTGCAAAAAATAATTAAAAATATTATATTATATGAATTTGCTTGAATATATATTTTTTGTGACTGTTTTTTTCTTTTGGTGTTTCTTCACGTTTTTATTTAGAAAAAATTAATCATTTAAAATTTCAACTTAAAAAGAAGGGAAGAATAGTGCTAAAATAAAATTTTAAGGCAAATCGCTAAAATAATGTTACAGTAATTTTTAAAACTGGAACATTTTAATTATTAGAGTTTTTTTTTATCATCACTTTTTCATTTTAATAAAAAATATCATTTCACCAATGATATAATCGGGTTTGGGTATTGAACTAGGGCTATACAGCTAAGGGAACGCATAGTTATAATATGTACGCAAAATACGTTAAGTAGGTAGGTATAGACAATTAATATAATCACGAAAATTGGAATACACCAATTCTATTATAATTATAACATCTGTTCTATGGTGCCGATAGTGAACAACTTTCTCCACAAATTATTCATGAACATTTTTATTATTTACAGTGTACCAAATTTACCTATTATTTTATTTAATAGATTGTAAATATCTTTATAAATTAAAAATTAAAAATTAAAAAAATTAACATCTGTATGTGTTCATAATGTTGTAATACTCTAAAGCAATTTTACTAAACTCAAATTGCATTACGCAAGTGCATTTAATAAAATATCAAATACCCAGTACACCTGTACGTCATAATATCACCTAGTATCACGTATATACATGGCTACATCTTACGACTTACACTGGAATATAGAATATGATTCTGGCTGACTGAGTATTACTTTGCTCGCGGTTCGCTTTTATCGTGATCATATTATTATTATACTTGTAATCATAGACTTAGAATTAATTCCATTAAATTATTGTCTAGCTTCACTCGTATAATATAATTTATTGATTTTATTTACTTTCGATTTACTTGAATTGATTTAGAATAGAATTTTTAATATTTAATAAGGTCAATTACAATAAATTATTAGATCTGTTAGTAAAATGTTGTGAACAAATTTCAAGATTTGTTTATTTTAATTTCTGAAACTTATATTCCTTCTATTCAATGAAAATTTGGTAGATACTAAAGATAAGTTAGTTAATATTTAACAATAAACACCTGACAATTGCTCTTAAAATGATTACAATATCCACAGATTAGAACACGTAGGTACGTTACAAATATTGATGTGTACTATAATGAGACACGAAATAAGTTGTTATTAAAAAATATATATTAACCAGTAACTCGATAAAAAGTTATATGAAAAAAAATCATACGCGTGTTTATCATTATTATGGTGATATAGATGAATTTATGGCTGCTGTTTGAAGGTAAACACAACAAAAACTTTTTATAACAATAGTTTACCGAGAAAATCGACAATTAGTTAAAATATTTCATCTAAATTGTTTTCGTAATTTACATACAATGTTATGTTGTAGTTTTCTTAATATTATAATACTGTGCTTAATGTTAAACCTCATATACTTATTGAAAAGAGTTTTCATCCTTAAATAAAAACACATGATTATTTTTAATAAACAAACCAAGAACATGCGCGTTTATTATTTATTAGATTACGCAATAAGCGTAGAATATTAAAGTAGGTAATAATTAAAATCAATTAATTACACTTTATTTTTCATCACACATTAAAAGAAAATAAATCACATATAATCGAACAAGATCTATACAGACATAGATAAATAAAAATAAAACCATAAATATATCATATCAATTTATAAGTAGGTATAAACCCACACGTGTGTGCTTGTGTGATTATATTTATACATTATTAAAAGTTAATGAGGACGTGTCCATATAAATCATAATAATATGAATAAAAAGTTATATTAATAATTTAATTTTATATTTATCGATATGTAATCTTAACATGTAGGTATTTATTATAATGGCCAGCTAGTTTACGGGTCAAGTATTCAAGTAAAACGGTTTTTAAGTCATAATAAAATTATTACTTCAATGGTTTTACTATAATGACTCGTTTTCACGCAAACTCAAAAATCAAACACGTTCCTACATTATTTTAGTATTCCTCGACATACATTTCTGATGTTTCATTTGATCGAAAGTCCCAAACAGAATTTTTTCCGAAAATTGTCCGAACGAATTCTATAAAAATATTTCTACAGTGACCCGAGGTCAATATAAATGTTCGAAACGTATAATTCATTTGGTATACCCATAGATCATTGTTAGGTGTTACGGATATAATATTTTTCCTACACGAATCGACTGGACGATCTGACTACGGTCACAATGTTGCACTTAACAATAATATTTATGTAATACATATTACCATATATTATTTTATAAGCTTAATAACAAACTGTGTATTGCCTGCACTTGTATAGGTTTGGTGTGTTTGCAAATACTGCGCGTAATGTCGATTAACGAATTCCCGGAGAAGAAGATACAAAATATCTGGTTGACGGACATGGACGACAAACAGACCGCGTCCAGGATCGAACGCAGTGATCAGTTCGAAACGGCCAGTGACGTCATCATGAAGGACGCAAGTGCTTACCCGAAGATCACCCGCCGTGGGTTCGCGGGTGAGGAATTTTTCTTGAAGGCTTCGAAGTCGGTGCCCAGGATTGGTCGCAGGAACAACGATATTCAGGAATCGCCGAAAAGATCATTGAGCAAAGTGAGTATAATACAACACACGCTGAATCAAGACGATAATATTGGAGTTATCGCTACAGTTCTGTCGTCTGTACAGTTATTATTAATAGGAACAATACGATTTAGGAAGCTCTGTGGCATTGCTGGGAGGTTATCTTATTGCATACTATTATATTATATTGAAATCGTAAGATTTTTGTAAAAGTTGTTAATCGAAATCGTCTTAATTTTGAACTTTTATGCCATGATATTAGATATAATACATATAGTGTTGTATGTAGATTATTGAACATATACCTATGCAGAATAACACGTCAGCGCCTCATAGTTAGTTTTAAAGCTGCATTTAAACAAATTCTGAACGCTTTTTTAGAAGCCAAGTCTTCAATCGCACAATGCGTGGTTAAAAAATAAAGCTAAATAAATTACAGTTTAATATGCCTACAATAACATAATCTTAAATATATTTTTACACGAGATTCGTATATTTTAAGGTTTAATTTGCATGCCGAATAAAATTACAGTCAGTGGCTTACGGTCGTACAATATTACTCTGAAGCAACGCTCTAAGCGTACACACCGGCCATCGTTGCTAGAACTCGGATGGGTGACCACCCGGGTTTTTAGCCACACGTCCTTGCCACACACGAAAACGTGTTCCAACCTAACTGACCTCCCCCCCACCCCTCCAACAGTAACAGACTAATTATCTTAGTAGTTGGAGCCTTGATCCAAATGAAAAAAAAAAAAATACAATCTTTGTGAGTTTTCTATAGTTTTTTACATAGTATACTCTAATAGAAGCACAGAAATTAGAAACGGATTATCGGTTGGAAGCATTTATACATTTATTATTATCTTGAATTTAATTAAATTGACATATGTCCACCATTCGGTGGTGACAATATTGTTATTTACTTCGAAATACAAAGCAGAGTTTTTTTTTTCGTCACATTCAATATAAAACCACAAAGCCGAAAATATTGACTAACGTTTTTATCATTCAGGATCAAGTGAACATGGTGGAATATTGGCCGTATTTGCAGCCAAACGACATCAACGAATTGACCAGGAAACATGACTTCGACTTGCCGTATAACTGTCAGCAACTGGACGCCAAAACGATTTTTTTGGTGGACATGTACAACTTTGTGTGTAACGATCAGTTCTATTGTTGTGCGCCGGCGAAGCGTGCCATAGCCAACTCTCCTAACGCGAATTCCTTGTGAAAATATTGGAGCATAATATGATACAACAATATGATATTATTGTAATGCTAATAAAATAATATGTAGTCAGTCTTAGATTTAGTGGGAATATGTTTTTGTTTATAATTAATATTATTATTTTTATCATCATACTTATTTTGAGTGGTTTTATATTTACAACCAACGGAAGAACAATCAACTGCGGATACTTATATTGAACGCTTAAGACACGTGATCGCAGTGATTATTGTGTTGCGCGCTTTAAAATATGTATTAAATGTAAAATTTATATCAAATGAAACATGTCTTCAACTCAATAAAAATCGAGGAATTAACCTATACATAGTTTTTTTGTTCTTGAAATCAAATTATCAAACTATTTTCCATCGATAAAACCTGCAGGCGTTTCCCCCTAAAAAATCACGTTTATTGTATGCGATATGGGTGGTATTGTCTAGTTGACCACCGCTTGAACGACTTGTATAATGACAGAGTTTGACAAGACTTTTACAGAAAAACAGCATCGAGGCCGTAATATTTTGAAACAAAATGCACACAGACATAGAACTGTTCTTAATACAACTGTCAATACCTATTTACCGATAAAATTAATACACCTACTTTTTCAAAAGTTTCAGGAATCGGACCCCCGCAACCCCACACCCCCCAGTTAAAGCCTTAAACAGCAATATAATATTATATTGTATTGATTGTTGGGCGTGCAGGAAACGGAACAAAAATACGTTCCTCGTGTAATATCATATTAAACTGTAATAATATTCATATACTGATTTTAAGCTGTTTACCGCAGTTATGTTGAATATTATTATAAGACTTTGAATGTCGATAACACCAATAAACGCCTGTTTGAAAAGAAAAGGAATATTATTGTGAAAGAAGTTGGCGTTAATGGCCCACCGCGATTAAACGTGCATCTCGGTTACTTGCAGCAAACGTTTAATATTTGAGATGCAACACTGCAACATCTAATGCATTATTCAATATCAATGCGTAATCGACAATAAATCGTGATAATTGTTTTATTTTGTTCGATTTTGGCACTTTGAACTGAAGAATAAAAAACGTTCGTACGAATTAACCGATAACGCTCAATGTTCAGAAATCAATGAAGAATAACAATCTTATTCTTTATTAGATCTGTATTTTATATATATAAATTATTATAAGAGCCTAGATGGTTTTTCGTCACACTTTGGTAATAAAACTGCAATACTGGTGTAACGGATGTAGTATATAGGTAAACCGTATACAAAGGTATACATTGTATAGATTTCATCTCAATTCGTTGATATCAAGCGAAGGTCTAATGTCTGATTGCACTTATTTTTGTCAAATTGCGTTCAGAACAGAATAAGGCAATGATCGAATTCCACTCATTACCATCATTACCTACATATAACCCGTTAATTGATGAGTATGGGTAAGTGGATGAAAGAATCAGGAATAATTTGTATTTCGTATCTTTTTTTATTGCTACTCCAGTACCTAATTTAATGTTTTTACTGTAATAATTATTCAGGTAGATATTTTTTAAATATTAATAAGCAATAATTTAAAATTAGTTTTTTTTTTCAAAATTAATAAATAGTAAAAACTTAAATATTACATTATAGGGTTTCAATTTCAAAATAATAGCATTTAATATGTTTACGTTTATATTTATAAATTATTTACCTAGGTCGTATAATAACGTAATCTTAATATTAAATCAATCGATACACACATGCACGACTTTCATTTTTAATATATAAGTTAGTACCTATAAAGACCACATTTTTAATTTCGATGGATTTTTTGTGTTATTAACTTAAATTGTGTAGTTATAAAAACTTCTGTTTTTCAAATGCGAACCTTATTTGTTAATGTAAATTTATTAATGGATAGTTTTTTGAAAATATTGATGTACTAATAGTTTAAAATTTGAACGAGTGTGTCTTCTCAGTCATCAAAATGTTTAAAATAAGAATAATAGTTCTACAAAATGATTTTATTAAAATATAAAATAAATGAAATATTGAATTTTTTTTATACTTGGGATATTTTTACAAATTATAACGGTTGATAGATCAGTGTTCATAACTACAATTTCAAAACACCATAGCTCAGAATATACAGTGTGCTTACGCTAAAAGGTACCACTAAATATTTCAGTTCGATGACTTTGTGTTGAAATGGGGTTTTCGTTGAATGATAGATAGTACTTAACTACACATTTTTAGACAAATTTATAATTTGTAATACTTTCGATACACGCATGCACGATACAACTTACTTTTTTTTAAGTGGTAACATCAATTTTTTACATATTCGCGGATAGAGTATTTTTTTCTAAACAATTATACATAAAAAAATGTTTTTTGATTAAAAAATTAGCATATGAAATTTAACGATGACATTTAATATTTACGAGTAATTTGTTTTTGACGAAATTTAAGCTAAATTCAACTTGTTGTCACATAAATTATTTTCACTGACTAGTAATAATTCTTTTCATAATTTCACACTAGTCTTGTGACAATTACTATTCATGTAACAAAGTTTTTCATTCTGGTTAGGTATCACATATTTCTCTGAAAAAAATTGTTATTGCTTTAATGATAATATAATGGATATTAATAAGTGACAATAAGTTGAATTTAGTTTAAATTTCGTCAAAAACAAATAACTCTTTAATATTAAATTTCATCGTTAAATTTCATATGCTAATTTTTTGATCAGAAATACATTTTTCATACATAAATTGTTAAGAAAAAAATACTCTATCCGAATATGCAAAAAAAAATTGGTGTTTCCGTTTAAAAAAAAGTAAGTTGTACCAGACATGAGCTTATCGAAAGTGTTGACAATTTGAAATTTATCTGAAAATGTGTAGTTAAGTACTATCTATCATTCAGCGAAAACCCCATTTCAATACAAAGTCATCGAACTGAAATATTTAGTAGTATCTCTTAGCATGAATACACTGCATTATCTCCAATCCCAATACCATGGACCTATTATCCATAGTACACAACGTTAAATAACTCAACAACGACTTGTTTGAATTTGAATTTTGATACTTCATCATTTTCAGAAAAATTATCCATTAAACAATTTGCAGTAGAAAAAAAGGTTTTTCATTTGAAAAAAAGAAGTTTGTTTATTAATAATAGGATATTTTTAGTAAAAAAAATCTCAAAAGCTTCAAAATATAGTATTTATGTAGAACTTGATACTGCATTATTGAAGGAAAAAAAGAGGTGAGCATGCTTGGAAGAATATATTACATACATACTTACATAACATATTTTTATTCTCACGATCGAAATTTATAGATGAATATGGTCTATTTGAATACAAAGTGTTGTCAAGTGTTTAATCGCAGAACAGTGTTTCATGTTTGGTTCTCAATTTTGTATTACATTTTATAATATACAGTATTCGGATTTTTGTCAAAGGTCAGTGGTTAGTTGTGCTGTTTTTAATACGGTATAGAGCAGTGAAAATTAAAATATTGTTATCGGAGCGCGTCCGAGATACGACGTTATAACTGCATATATATAGTTAAGGGACGAAAATTGTACGATATTCGCGACACATGGCGAGCGAACCGAGGGTGGAAAGAGAGAGGTCCTTGCACATACACCCTTATTATGATTATCATTATTATATGGTATTAAACGCTATAGCTGTATATATACTAAATGAAAACACGTCACGGTCCACGGATGACATAGTGGGTTAATTATAAATACGTGATTTATAAAGCGGCGTTCGGTTCGTAACTTATTAAGTTATAATATTATAATAATTATCCGTGTGAGAGAGAGAGAGAGAGAGAGAGAGAGAGAGACAGACCAACAGAGAGCGTGCGTGTGTACCTACCCGGCGAAAAAAATGCAAAAGGCGAATCCTCGGCGTGGGACGAACTTGCGATGGGAAACGGTTCTACTGCACGTTTATTCGGAGGAACAATAAAAAGCGTCTTAAAAAATACGTCGAAACTTTTGGGCACCTATAATAATATAATAAACATACTATATTATTATTTATTTATTATATAGAAATCACGAGAATCGAAAATACATAGTATTATATAGGCACCTACTGCTAAAACAACGACAACTATTTTATTGTTATCAAACGCGTGTATGGAGTTTTTGACATAATAGTTTGATTGACAACAACTCTGTGTAAGAATACAACATTTATTAGACGCTGCAGCCGGTAATTTGCAGGAGTACACAAACACAATTGATTAGATATAATATTTATACTTGCAATTATGCGCTTATATCGTGTGTCCAATTTTCTTCTAAAAATACATTTAGCTACCTATAAAGAAAAAAGATTTTCGACAAAAAATTAAAGAATCCGAGTACCACGAATTCGATTCTCATTTTTTTTTTTCAGCAAATTTACTAAAGGTCAGTTCCTCCTATATGCCGTATAGCTATTAATATAATTGTCGTGTAATCGATTGCACAAGCAAAATCGACAAAAACGTTTACCCAAAATTACAATTCGACATATATTTATAAGATAATACATAACATAAGATGTACCTACCCGTTAGGTATATGAGGTATGACACATATCTAATAATATAAAAATTATATTCATCATTTGAATAATGTTTTTTTTTAGCTGTGTGTTGTTTACAATAATATATAACATCATATTTTGGTAATTTAATATCCTGGCGGAACACAGTAGCTTGGCGCCTTCGCAGGAAAAATTGCTCGTTTTAGTTATGTCCATTTTGCAATAAGTAAAATTTTCTCACACTTTAACGATGAACTCGGGGCGAAAAAAAGTCGTTTACGTGCGTGTGAATTTTTTTCAAAAACGTATATCCACAATAATTGTCACTGTACACTGATATTTATGTTGCTATTACTTACGTATTACCTATATTATATGCATATACCTACGTATAATATTGCGTATAAATTCGCACTCGGTTCTACACGGCAAGTGTGATTGGAATAGAATATATTACGGTTGTTTCGAAATGCATAATGCAAGTACAGTCAATCTTTTTGTATTGTGCTGAATATGTGACGAAGGCAAAAATTCGTATAATAATAATAATAATACCAGATAATATGTATATTTCGAGTAAACATATTATTAGAAATGATGAGAATTTTATATTATTAACATTGTGCTGTAGTCGATAAACATCAAAACTATCTTGAGCATATACGTTTATTATTCGCACATTATGTGTCGCGTGAAAAAAACAAAACACACGACCCGGAATGTTCATCTGTGCAGTAACATAATGATGATGATGATAATAATAATAATAATAATAATAATAATAATAATAATAAAC